CTAACTCTGGACATTTAAAAACTCTGGTAGCTGTGCAGGAACTGATACCAGAGCCTGCTGGCTCATGGGATGGAGCCCAGAGTAGCAATTCTGTTGCTTCGGGGTCTGGAAAACAGAACAAAAGCTGCCTATTCACCTAAGGTGTACAAATGAGGGGGGGATGCTGAACCACATGAAAAACAACAACAGAAAAACACAACCTCAAAATTGCCAAACTGGCTTTATTCCGGTCATTTAGCAACAAGTGAACTCCAAACCATACTTATGGGGACGCTCAGAAGATGCAGAGGTCTTAGTGTGGATCGGTCCATGCTGGCACGCCAATAGGCTCAACATCTTCCTTTACTGCTGGACAAGCTTTTTTGCCACCTCTCTAAGGAGCTAATAATACAGAAGGGAAAGTCTGCCTCTAGGTGGCTCTGCTGAGATGAGCGGCACTCATAACATTAACTCTCCAGATACTCTTTCTGCCCTTCTGTTTCACATTCTTTTCATGACTTCAAGTTCACCTTGGCTGGCTCAGTTCTGTCCTGCTCCCTCCATCAAGGTGAAACCCATCAGCTCTCAGGCCAGTTGCCAACTGTGTCTCGGCCTCAGACTGAAGGGTCCCTTTTCTTCAAACAGGAAGTCCCTTTCCCTCCCTCCCACGCCTTCTTCCAAGCTCTTGGATAGGTGAACGGCTCCTTCTGCCCAACACTTCCTTTTACTACCCCAAATACAGGAAACCACAACCGCAGCTCTCTTGAAAAACCTTCCCTCGTGGTGTCCCTTCCCCTCCCACACCTCTCTGTGGGGAGACCACCAGTACCGAGCGATTAAAATGGCTGTTGTTTCTTCCATTACTCAGCTTTCCTGAATTATTGGGTGTAAGATTCAGGGAGTGGGAATAATTATGGGCTGGGGGGGTGAGCGGTGGTGGTGGAGGAGAACAATGGCAGGCTTGAAGGCTTAACGGTGCTTGTGTGGTTCTTTCTAACAAGGTCGGCCTGTAGTCATATTTCCCAGAGTCTTCATTTCTCCCCACCCGCCCACCCCACCGAAACCTCTCATAGCTTTTTGCCAATAGACATTTCAGCACAGGGCAACGAGCCCATTTGCAGCACCCTCAGTCCAAAGGCTTAAGTTTTTAATCTGTTAGGCACCCAAACTTTATTTAACCCTGCGTTCTCACAGGCAGCATTTCATCAGTGGAAGGAGGGGTGGGGTGTAGGGGTTTCAGCCAATCCAGGATTCATAATGAGCTGGTTTGCACATAACATTAAGCCATAGACTATTTTAAACCAGGGGTAGGGAACCTCAGGCATGGGGGCCAAATACAGCCCTCCAGGCGTCTCTGGCCACTTGGGACTCTCCTCAGCCACAGCCTCTTTCCCCTTACCAGTCTGCCTTTACAAAGTTCTTGACCAGGCTTCCTCAACCTCGGCCCTCCAGATGTTTTGAGACTACAATTCCCATCATCCCTGACCACTGGTCCTGCTAGCTAGGGATCATGGGAGTTGTAGGCCCAAAACATCTGGAGGGCCAAGGCTGAGGAAGCCTGTTCTTGACCATATTGGCTGTGAGTCCTGGAAGATCTGCCCCCTTACCTTGCAGGCCTTTTCCCACCTGCCCTGGGAGGGCGGGGCCCTGATTGACTCCAGCTACAAAAGCTGAGGCTGCTGAATAGATGCTTGGGCTGGGAAGTTTGTTGGGGGTTGTTGTTGCTGCTGTTTTGTATCTTTATTTTAGATCTTGTTGTGATTTATGTGGAAATTGTTCAGATTGGTGGTGTATTTTTAATGTTTTATTTATTGTTTATGACTACTTTTGTTGTGTTGTAATGTATTTTTTTCATGTTGTAAGCCGTCTTGAGCACAGTTTGAACTGTGGAAAATCTGCAAACAAATGAAATTATGTATATATGTATGTTGTGTGTTTTTGCCTTTAAACTGAGGGTGCTGCAAGTGGGCTCACTGCCCTGTGCTGAAATGTCTGTTGGTCAGTCAACAGGGATGATGGGAGTCCAACAACATTTGGAAGGTCATAAGTTCCCTCTTCCTACCTACTATGAAGTGCACAGTATAATTTTAGTGTACCTGAAATTTTTCTCTCTTTCCATTTCTGACTGAAGGACAATTCCGTGGAGCTCAGAAGCTGATATATGCCACTTACAAGTACCTTTTTTGTCCCAGTAAAGCATGTGGATAAATATTCAGGCCCTGAAGTTCCTTAGCCAGAAATGAAGGCCACACCCATCAATGGAGTCAGACCTCATATGATTAAACAACCTTAAATGGCTCAGGACCGCAATATCTCAAGGATTGCCTCTTTCCTTAAGAGCCAACCCAGACCCTGAAATAATCATATGAGGCCCTTCTTCATGTGCCACCTCAATGAGAGGACTGGAGGTAGGCAACATGATAACAAGTCTTTTCTGTGATGGCTCCCCAATTGTGGGATGCCCTCCCCAAGGAGGCCTGCCTGGCGCCTTCATTACAAATCTTTAGACACCAGGCAAAGACGTTTCTCTGTAACCAGAACTTTGGCTGAGCAAACATTCTATGGCCTTTTAAATGTGTTTATGGGAGGGGGGTTATTGATTTGTTTTATTATGTATTTTGTGTTCTTTTGTATTTTTACGTTTTGAGCTGCCCTGTGATCTTCAGGTGAAGGGCAGTGTACAAATTTAAGAAATAACACTAATAATAAAATAGTAATGATTAGAGTCTGACAAGGAGTGTCTTATGGTGCTTTGGTTATATATATATATATATATATATATGAAAATATAATATACATTTTATAAAAGTATATGAAGCTGATCAGGTGCAAACAGTATGAGACATTGATGGACAATGGTGCTTTCAGAAAAGGACACTCTGATAGTCTGCCAAGTGCCCAAGCAGCAGAATGAACAGGAAGGGACCCAAATGCAGCCTGTTGGGTGGGTGGGTGCTATTGTTTAAATCCAGAGTCTAAAATTAGCTAACTGCACCACTGATGATACCTTTTAAAACAGCATCAGTTCTTAAACAAAACAGTCTGTCTTTGGACCCACACCAGCCCCTAGATCCCTCATGCCAGCTAGCAAAACTCGGCTTTCTTTCTTCCGTATCTGGCTGCATTCCAACTGTCAGACCCCAGCTGAGCAAGTGGGGGGTGTCCACTGGACACTGTCCAATAACTAGTTGCCACCAGGCATCAGGGTTAATTTTAGTAGGAATCTTCAAGCCATCTGTGCCCACTGAGCTATAGAAAATCCTCACTTTGCATATTCATAACAACACATCTTTCTTTTTAATAATATTAATAATAATAATAATAAATCCTGCCTCCTCCACTTTAGCTGGTTCAGTAGCTGGAGCAGCCCCTCCTGTGAATACATCTACCACCACTTTTAGTTTTTGACCAGTTGGAGCCAATTGTATATTGTCAGCCAGAATTAGAGCCAGGTCTTATGAGTTATTACAGTTTAAATTCCTTGGTAATCAGCTGCAAAGAAATGGAAAGTGAAACCTGAAGAAGATGCCAAATAATTCTCAGCAACAACTAAATCACCGACACAATCCCCCTTCCACAGAGATGGAAATGTTAACTATTTCCCCACTTTGGTCTGGAGCCTCCTGATGTTCAGGAAACATCAGTCACCCAGCTGGGATGGAAGGGAATTCACCTGGTCCAGTTTTTCACAGTGGGCTGACCCAATTCAGTCATCCCAAACTTGCTTGTGAATTGGAGTGCAGTTCCTAATTGGACTGCACACTTCTCCAGATTTTGCAGTGCAGTTTCAGTGTGCAAACATACATATTTTATGGCAAAAATGTGCATATTTCACAGGAAATGTACTGAAAAGCATTTTGAAGGATACATTTTTGCAGGGAAATGCATATAAAAAAATTACCCAGTGATGTATATAATAACAATAGGCACAATAATTTAAATGTGAACTTTCCATGCATTCTTAAAAGACAGAGTGAATCTAGAACTGAGTACCAGTGAAAATTACAGGCTGATCTGCTCATCCCTTGTCAAACAGCAGAATATAGGGAGAGTGGCTTAAAACTTTTGAGCTGTTTATTTTTAAAAGTACCATATATACTGTAGTGTGGATTCGGAATTTAATTCCCTAGAGGTCTTTTCTGTGGTTATGATCACATGAGCCTAGCTTCAGTAACGCACGCCCCCCCCCCCCCACTGTCATTTGATTTATTGCAACAAGTTGTAAGTGGGACAGCCGTTGAAAACAGTCTGGAAAAACTGAGTTGGTACAAAATATGGCCACTTAGTTACTAACTGGGACTGGGCACTGTAAACCCATTATGCCACCATTTCATTATCCTCACCGGCTGTTTCTTGGCCTTTTTCTGGGTGCAAGTCAAAGTATTGCCTTTCCGTGCTGGGGCTGACATTTATGCATCACCCATTTTCATCGGAGAAATGTTGGAGGGTATGGTGTAAATACTTAGCGCCTAAGATTCTTACCTTGGTTCAGAATTACTGCCACAATTTCTAGTATGGGTTCATGCCACAATACATGCACGTTACTAAGCCCCACTGAATTCCATAGGGATTACTACCTAACAAGCATGCACAGGATTGCAGCCTTAATTGGTTCGTCTAAAAAGCACCACATAGGACTGGAAGGGCCCCCATAAATTCAATATAATCTGCCGTTTCTTCTGTATTCCTGCATGGAGAGGGATGGGGGAAACCTGAAACAGAAACAACTTCATTTGCATTGTTGCTGTTCTGCCCAACACAGAAAGCTTCATCTTGGACCATTTAGCTATGTCTCTCTTCATGTTTTTAACCAGCAGGCAAATATTAAATTTAAATATTTTATCCAACTTATTTGGTATTTGAATACATAAATATCGAAAGGATGCTGGGTTTCTGGAACAATACCCCCTGACCAGACTGAGTTGAGTAAGGTGCAGGGCTAACTTGCCACACATTTCTTAGTATAAAAAGAGCTTCCAAATCCACCTGGGCAAGAAGCTTTATTATGCTTAAGCTGCTTTATGGCTTGTTTGCTCTGTGATCCTCAGATAGATGGTTGGTTGGTAAATAAATAAATAAATAAATAAAGCTGTATTCAAATACGGTAGTGTGCAACAGAAATAGGTTGTATACCACAACTGAGTTTGTCTCCGGATTTGAACTAGTGACGGCAACAAACTGAATTAGCTGAGCAGCAGGAAGTGTTATGTACTGAAGTTCTCACCCTGGGCCAGCAGGGGGATACTGTAGATAGTTATGCAAATGAAGGATCGAAGTTTGCCCACAACTTAACACTGGCGACGAGGATGGGATCGATGTGGCCATCCTCTGAACTGAGCTGAATCACTGAGCTGAATCACTGAGCGAAATCACTGGGCAGAACCAATTCAGAGCTGACTGTTCTGGCTAGAGCACTGTGTTCCATCCATCGCCCTTCACGCCGGCATCGGAATCATGGCTTTACTTGTGCCTCTACCGCTGTATGCGCCAGCCTCTGAATCATGGGACTCCTACCTCGCTCGGTTCGACTGCTACCTCCAAGCCAACGAGCTGACAGCAGTACCAAAGGAATGGAAGTGGGGCCTATTCCTCAGCCTCTGTGGGCCTGAGGTGTTTGAGATGGCCCGAGCATTGGTTGCGCCTGAAGCAGTCCAGGCAACACCATGGGACACAATCCAAGAGAAGCTCCGCAACCGCTACGCGCCAAAGCCGTCCAAGATTGCTGCCCGCCATGCATTTTACCACCGGAACGAGGCAGAGGGGGAGTCAATCAACAACTACACCACCGCCCTGCGACATGCTGCAATGCACTGCGAGTTCCGAGACTTAGACGATGCCCTGATGGATCGAATTGTCTGCGGGGTCCAGGACATCCATCTGCAACGGCGTCTCCTCGCCAAGCCAGACCTCACGCTGCAGAAAGCCATTGAGGAGGCTGTGGCCTCGGAAGCTGCTAAACGCTCCGCCCAGGAGATCCGCAAGGCCAGCAGCCCGCGTCTTACTAGGAAGCCAGTCCCAGTGCATCACGAAGAGGCCAGCAGTGATGAGGCATCCTCCAGTGAAGACAATGACGTGCACCAGACAAAGCGGGAACGCAGGAAGTTCCAACAGAAGTCCAAGGGCCAACCAGAATGTGCCGGCTGCGGAGGCAACCATTCCCGTGCCAAGTGTCGATTCAGAGACGCCATCTGTCGGATGTGTTCCAGAAGGGGCCACTTCGCTAAGGTCTGCCGATCGGCTCCGTCTGACACCCCCCCCTTCACTGACTCGCAAGTCCAAGTCTTCACTCCAGTCTGCCAAGGAAAGCTGTTTCGCTCTCACCAACTGCCGCTGCCCGTCTGGAACCACGATTGGCCAAACCGACTCGCCTATGCGACGCAAGCTGAACGTCACGGTGCTCATTGAAGGAGCTCCATGTGACATGGAGATCGACACCGCGTCTGCCCTGTCCATCGTGTCTTGGAGCACCATCAAAAGACTGGTACCCAGAGTGTCCAAAAGGCAACTCGACTCTCACCGCGTACACCTGAGAGACTTCCAGGGAAACGACATTCCCGTGGTAGGCGTTGGCCGGTTCCGGATCGCCTTCAAGGATTTTTCGGGCCTGCTCCGACTGGTGGTGGTCGAAGGTCAGCGGCCAAGCCTCCTAGGGCTAGACTGGTTTGATGCCCTCGGCCTGGAAGTCACCGGCATCAACTGTGCGCTCGGCAATAGAGGCACTGGCGCGCCTGGACCGGGGAGACTGGCACGAGCGGGTCGCCAAATACTTGTTCGTGCAACACATCACCCCTCATGCGGCCACAGGGTGGAGTCCTGCCGAACTGCTTATGGGCCGCCGCCTCAGGTCCCCGCTCGACCGGCTGCACCCAGACTTTGCCGTGACCGAACCCCCAGGCTGTGCCAACGCGCCACGGTCATTTGTTCCAGGAAACCAGGTCTTTGACCAGAACTATGTGGGGGACATTCCTTGGGTGCCAGCCACAGTAGTGGGAGTCACTGGACCTCGCTCGCACCAGGTGGCACTCGAAGACGGACGCTTGTGGCGCCGGCACATAGACCAGCTTAGGCGCAGGGTTGGGGACTTGGACACTACCGTGGTGCCCCCAACTGCACTCGTGGCTCTGGAAGAGACACTTACAGATGGTGAGGCTCCACCTCTCTCGCAAACTGCCAGCGTGGAGCCGAACCAAGCCACTTCAGAGGGTCTGCCAGACTTACCACAGACTCAGACCACTCCACTTGCGGAGGCTCCACCCACAGCAGCGGATCCAGGGGACTTGGTTTCAACGCCACCTAGGGTTGCACCACAGCCTCAGCAAGAATTGTGTGGCCCCCCGGACTTGGCTACCAGTCCCCGGCGGTCTGGCAGAGTTTCCAAGCGCCCAACTTATTTAAAGGACTATGTTGTTAGACATGTATCACTGTTGGTCTAAGTATGTGAAATGTAACCGATATGCTTTTGTGCCTAATTGAACCATTACGTGTAGTGCTGTGTATAAGGAAACCATTACAATTGTAACTAATGCCTTATCTCGGTGGGGAGGGGTGTTATGTACTGAAGTTCTCACCCTGGGCCAGCAGGGGGATACTGTAGATAGTTATGCAAATGAAGGATCGAAAGTGACGTTCAGTGATTGGATAGTTTGTATGCAAATGAAGGATTGTAAGTGACGTTCAGTGATTGGATAGTTTTAGAAAATGGCAACAGTTGCATTGTTCTGGAGCTCTATATAAGCAGGCTGACTGAGCTCCTCAGTTAGTTCTGTTCCAGCTTACAAATAAAGAGCTGCTTTGGAAGAATCGCTGTGTCGTCTGATATGTTCACCCACAACTTAACAGGAAGACTTGGCAGGTGCCCCTAAAACTACTGTTTATAGAAATATACATTTCTATTATTTATTTAGAGCATTTGTACCCCACTCTTCAGACTGAATGGCTCCCAGAGCAGCTTACATAACAATCAAAATAAGACAGTCTCTACCCACGGAGTTACAACCTAAAAAAACAAAAGTCACACCAGGGAAAGGGGACAGGGAGAGAAGAGGAAAATATAAATGAAAAATGAAAACTTATGGGCCAATTTCTAAGCAGTTGTTCCTGTAACGGCCAGCTGGCCAGGGCAGGAAGTGCCTGATGGAACTGGGCCTCCAGCAAAGCTGATGAAATGAGCCCTGCTTCCCTTCTCTCCCACTGAGACAGACTGACGGAATAGATGCCCCCAGGTGCCAGCTGTGCCTCTGAGCTATGGCCCTTCTCCTTCTTCTTGTTTGGAGTCAGAGCAGTGGTTCATTTAGCTCAGTGCTGTCTACACTGGCTGGCAGCAGCTCTCCAGGTCTTTCCCAGCTTTACCTGGAGATGCTGCAGATTGAACCTGGGACCTTCTGCATGCAAAGCAGTTGTTCTACCACAGAGCACTAGGTGGGGGTGTAGTGGGCAACCATCCTGACATGTCAGCTTGCCCAGAGCCTCCCTTGAGGGTCAGCTGCATGAAGGTTCAGCCCTAAAATCCTAGAATGCCCTGAAGCCCCTACAAGCCATAACAGCCTTAGACAGTTCTCTATGACACACATGCATGCACTGCCTGTTATTACTTTAAAAGGCTTCATTTCCCCAGAGTCCCCGTCTAATATCAGAAACCCAGACAGAAAATAAATGAGGGGGGCATGCTAAGTGCTCTCTGAAATACTCATTTGCAAAAATCAGCTTCTGGCTTGTTCGTGAGCCAATCTGCCACTAACTGAGGTGCAGAAACACCCCAGAATGGCAACGCTCAGAGACTCTTCACAATCATGCCTTTGAGCTCACCCTGTGAAGAGAAAAAGAAGAAAAAGAAGAAGAGAAGAGTTTGGATTTGATATCCCGCTTTATCACTACCCGAAGGAGTCTCAAAGCGGCTAACATTCTCCTTTCCCTTCCTCCCCCACAACAAACACTCTGTGAGGTGAGCGGGGCTGAGAGACTTCAGAGAAGTGTGACTAGCCCAAGGTCACCCAGCAGCTGCATGTGGAGGAGCGGGGAAGCGAACCTGGTACACCAGATTACGAGTCTACCGCTCTTAACCACTACACCACACTGGCTCTCTTGAGGAGGGGTGGGAGAGCAGTGCAGCCCCCTAGGGTAGGGGAACAAAGATTTGGGACTGGCAGCCAGCAGCCCAACAGCAGTGTCCCACTTCCAGGAGCTTCCCATCTGCCTCTATGAACTAAGATCCAGGCAAAGGGCTCATCCTGGTGCCGGCAGGTACCAGTGTGCTTGCCAGTACCTCTTTGTAGTAAATATCCCCTGAAAAATCCATGATGCACAAGATGGTGCCCACAGTATTTTGTGTTCCTGACTTTTTTTCTATTGTTATATAAATTTATAACCTGTCCTTCCTCCCAAAGGAACCCAGGGAGGTAAACACACCAGCAATAAAACAATACAATTCAAAATATTTCAATACATCTACAAATGTCTAAAATAATTAGACGGCTAATCATTTCAAGGTAGCCAAGAACAGTGGGCTGTATTCAGTGCTAGATTTACTCAGAATTGACCTATTGAAATTAATGTACATGACTAATTTAGGCCCATTAATTTCGACAGGTCTGCTCTGAATAGAACCCAGAATCTTTAAATGTGGCAGATATTTTGTGTTATGCCACACCCCATAGCTGCCATTTGTGCTATGCCACTTTTTGTGTAATGCCCCATAGCTGCCATTTTGTGACTTGCACCCATGGCACTGCCTCCAAATGTGCCCACTAGCCCCAAAAGCTTGATGACCCCTGGGCAGACCAGTCTAATTGAACTCTCAGTCTGCTTTCCATGTGCTCATTAACAAATCTAATCCGTCCCGTTTCCATATCAATCAGCTTATTAAAAAGCACAAAAATTCACCTTATTGTTCAACAAATCTTATCCTCAAAGAATACGTTTTTGAATGCATGTTGGTACTTTTTTGAGTCAACAACTATATCACATCACTCAGTGAAGTGTAAAATCCAAATGCTAGCTAACTGCATCCAAACCTGAAGTGCAAAGTAAGACTGGCTCATGGAAGAATGCAAAGCAAACAATATCCTGGAGCATTCCAAGCTCATAAGAAACCACTGGCGGCATAGGTGAAAGTCAGCCCACCCTTCAATAAGAGATGCCAGGGGTTGGAGGCAGAATTATCACTTTGTTTCTGACTTGCTGGTTTTGGCTGCAGATTCTCCCAAGCAACATGCGTGTGCCCTCCATGGAGCTCTTCCATACTGAAATCAGGGTATGGTTGAACATTGACTCACTCACACTTTTGCTTGCAAAGGAATGGAAAGAAAAATGTTTTAGAGCTGTAACCCAACAGACATGCATCTCACTGGCCCTCTCCCCACCCTCCCCAAGTTCTTTTGCCTGGCTGGATTTTGTCCTTGAACTCTAATAATGCTAGATGGAGGAGTGAAAAGGGTATGTGACTTATTTATGTAGGGAGCAAGCAACTCTACAAAGGTAAAATATGCACTGTTTGCCTCTGGTCCAACCAACCATTTATCATGTGGCCCTCAGAAGGTTGCCCATTAGGAAATGCGGCCCTTGGGCTGCAGAAGATTCCTTACCCATGACAGAAAAGACTGTTGTTTTATTGATGTTTAATTATGGTGTATATTACTTATTTATCTATTTGCTGCATTTGAACACCACCTTTTTCTCCAAGGAGCGCAAGGTGGTGAACATGGTCCTTCTCCTCATTTAATCTCCACAACAATCCTGTAAAGTTGATTAGGATGAGAGAAGACATTGACTGGCTGAAGTTCACCCAGTGAGCTTTGTGGCCGAGTGGAGATTTGAACTCTAGTCTCCCAAGTAGTAGTCTGACACTCTAACCACTATATCACATTGGCTCTCTATGTTATGGGAAAATGGCAGAAATAGTGTGTGTGTGTGTGTGTGTGTGTGTGTGTGTGTGTGTGTAACACATTAAAATAAAGCACATTAAAATAGCTGTCTACTAGCACAACCTGGTAGCACAACCTGGTCTACTAGCACAACCTGGCACTTCTTCAAAGAGATTAAAATGCTTTAGCATGAAAGAGGGACGCCCCCACCTTCCAGGCATCCCTTCCAGAAACAGAGCACAGAGCTGGGACAGGCAGACTCTCAGATTAGGTGTGGCCAGCAGCCAGTCTTGCTAAATAATGAGGTATACCTTGGGAAAGTTGGCTGCCACAGAATCCATGCCCTAAATGATAGGAAAACACACCGACGGTCTCACTTCATCTTGGCCCTGCGCATGATAATGAAGGCAAATGCCAGCTCCCTTCCACGGGGGAAGATGATCCTCTCTAGCTTAAGGGCCAACTCTTCTTTTTGCCTTCATCTCTCTAATATTTCAGCTGCTGTCCAGATGTGGAGCAACTCTGGAGGTTGGCTGGCTTTCAGACTCCATGCTGGAAAGACCCAAGCTTGGCTCTTGTCTGCCAGGGACACATGGCTGTTGAATTAACAAGCAGGCTAATGACAATGGGAGTTGGAGAAACCAACAAACAACAACCAAGGACCCTGAGGATGAGCCTCTGTTGTATATACCTGCGGAGAAAATGACGTTATGGATGCAAAAAAGCAACAGGAAATGACATGGAGATGGCAGAAAAGAGTGAAGGGGAATGAGTAGGCCCTACAAACCTCAGCATCTGAGAAAATGGAGGTGAAACATAAAATGTATTTGGTTGGTGAAGGAGAAGCTGTTTCTTATTATGCTTCTGCCACTAGGAACTCCTGATGCAGATGGTACAGCATGCTGGACCTCCATCTTAAGAGGGAAATTCAGCCGATTGCCATCTCTTAAGACAGCACTGTTGCTGTTTTTAGAGCACTGGATGCTCTGGTGCTGTCAGCAGGAGGGCAAAAAGTGCTCACACAGTGTGCTCCCTACTTGCCTGCACAGTGGATGGAGCAGCCATACTGGTGCTGCACGCATAACTGTTTGGAGGGAGAGCCAAGAATGGGATGGAGACTAGTCTGGGCTAGCTTATTAAGTGGCTGTTGGCTAAGCAGCACGAGTCTGTTTTAGTTTCATATAGTGGTAGTCAGCTAAGACTCAGAGTAGACTCACTGAAACAAATAGGCCTGACTTTGTCACGTTCATGTTCAATGAGTCTACTCTGAGTAATATTTAGCTGAATACCACCAATTCTTCACTCCCTGAGTTCCATTCCTTTAAACTGGACACAGGTAAAAGGCAAAAGAGGACCTGGCTACTTGATAAGATCCAGCTGCATTAAAGGAAACCTCAGAGCAGGTATATTATGAACCAAGCATGGACAAATAAGTCTATTTACGTTTGTCTCAGTTTCTTCCTTTTCTAATCTTCAGTTTGCCACATTTCTGCATAAATTTGGGATAGTTGTTGTTTTCAGTCCTCATGAAAATTGCCAAAAATATACATTTTTCTTTGCAATTTTTTTTTTGC